TGCGCCAGAGGAATACAAGAAACTTGCCGAGCGGTGTTGTGACGCTGATCCTGATAAGCGTCCAAAGGATGGATGGATACTTTACTGGGATATTTACAATATGTTTGAAGATGCATACAAGTCTGGTGACAACGTGTGGAATGTTGTTTATCATAATGATGTAAAGCCATTATCACGTCTCGAGAAAGAGAGTAAATATTCCAGCACACTCTTACCTACTGGAGCCTTGCCTAAACCGAGAAATAGTCATGATTTGGATTCAGCTGCAGGTATGTTACGCATTGGTATAATAATAAATATAAATAAAGTCAACTTACAATATTAATATCGTTTTATTGTCTAATAATTTAGTGACACAAACGCTCTTGTAATTTGCGGTTTATTACTGTTTTACTAGTTTTACTCAAGGAGTTTGCTTTTCTTGCAATTATATTAAATGTGTCAACATGATTTGCCTGTTTATTGTTAGACTTTTTTTCCAGGGTAGACTATTAATATATAAGTAGGGGAATTTTTTTGGGGAGGGCGTCGCCCCTCATTTACTACAAAATTTAGAAATTAGTTAATATCTGGGGGGTTTTATGACAGCACATGTATAACTACACTCATTTATTAAAGTTATCCAAAATTTAGCATACACAACTGATGAACAGGCATCTAAATTGTAATAACATAGTATGTACAGGTAATAATAGAGATTTCCCAAATTTTTACGCACTTTCAATTTAATGTAATCGCTGTGCTAATTATACGCACTTCCAATCCATTGTGAGCGCTGAGGGTATTAAATTATCTTGTCGCAAACCGGATGACACATTTTTGTATTTCCAGTTAAGTTATTCCCAAAGAATAGGTTTCGTATATACAATACCAATGTATGAACGAAAAATATTTTGCCACTCCTTCCCAACATGAATCGAAATGTCAGTAATGTCTGTAAATAGAAATAGTAAGATGTAAATAATCTAAAAAAAAAAACAACGACTAGACGGAAACAGAAATACTGTATTTCAAGTGAATACAATACTATGGTTCTTCATATGAAGGTAATTTTAATATATTAATATCCGATGCCAAATTGTTAAGCTTAGGCGTATCATTGGATCATAATGTTCTTCTTGAGGAGGAGGAGGAGGAGGAGGTGGTGGTGGTGGTGGCGGTTTTTGTTGCTGGTTTGTTTTTTGAATTAACCCGCTCTTCACCCGAGTTGTCTGCAGTAGAGGTAGACGTCGCAGCAGGCTTTGATTCTTTTTTCAGATGTTTCGGAGGAGGAGGAGGAGGAGGAGGAGAAGGAGGGGAATGCAAGGGTGTTCGTGGAGATAAATTCAAAATTATGTAATTTGGTATATAACTTATCATTGTGGATAATACGATAAAACGGTACGATTCTTTGAAAGTGAAAAAACCTGCCTACTAAATAAACGAAAAAGTTTTTTATGATCTCATCATTGCTGGGTATTTATGATGCCCATAGATATTCGAGTGGGGAATACATAGCTTAAAGCAGATAAGATTAATTGCGTGTGTGTGCAAAAAGGGTAGCTGTGGAATCTTACACAAAATCAGATGGCGCGACTATATTTAGATGAAGTAATAAAGAAATGAGTAATAAAAAAAGGACGACAAAATTTTTGCATGCAAATAAAGAAATATTAAAATAAATATTATTTTATTTATGAACGTAATGATAATGAGAGTTTATTTTTAATGAGAGTATTTTGACTTTTTTGACAGAAGACGTTGGTCAAAGTCACAGTATAAGTAAGTTTGATGTAGTCGATAGTAGGTGACAGCGTTACGGATTGTGAATGAGTATTAGTCACATGTTGAAATTTTTAAAAATAGTATAAAAAGCGCTAGTCTCTGGTGGGTGGGTCCGGTATAGTAATATAAGAACGGTCGTTAAAGATCTATATTAAAATTACGGAATTCGTGTATTAGAAGGTTAGTGTGGAAAACAGTTTAGGAAATAAAGTGCTGATTGAACGAATGGAGAATGAAGAAATTATAAAATAGGAAAGTATGTGCATGAGGATGCATCAGGAGACAGCGATGAAAATGTACTTACAGTTAACGACAATTCTGTAGATCGCTTAGCATGCGTAAAGTAATTGTTTGCCCCGCTTAGAAATTAGCAGGTAAACTTTGGCAATGAATAACTTTGCATCCCCACAAAGTCGACCCGAAGTCTCAAACATCAAAAAATATGTCTTACGCTCAGTGGGGGCAAGTGTCAGGTCGACCCAAAGTTTCAAGCGTAAGAAATTTCCAAAAATATTGTCTTGCGTCCTAACACCTGCTGCCTTATCGAGAAATTTACCCTTGATATAAGAAGAAACATATTAACTACTCTCGTTATAAGAGATTTCTATATAGCACGACGAAAATTATATAGGCTACAGTTTATTACCAAGTTTGAAATTATAATGCCTCCCATAAATAATGAAATAATTACGTATACGATGTGTAATATTGGGTTGCCCCCCGCTTTTTTAATTCATTCTCGCTCGATCTTTTTTTATTTCCTGCAATTTATCCTCTTTGCTTAAAGTGTTTCGGCCAGAACTGTTTGTGTCATCGTTGAGTTTGTGAGCTGTGCAAATTCAAGATACTACTAAAGCTTACGTCATAAGTATTAAAAATTAAGGATTTAATCGCTAATTATGTTGTTGAAGATAATTGTTGTGTCTGAGTTGGGACTTGTCTTAGTTCATAATTCAGAACTCCGGTGTAACCAAATGCTGATTCCAGAACTCAGTTGTCTCGATATTTTCCGTATTCAATTTTGTCAGTATCTGTGAGCTTATTCCGAGAAATCTGACTTAATTATAATGGCAAAGGAACTCGAGCAAAATATCTTTACCAAAAATTTGACATTATACATGTCATAGTTACGGTAAAAGCAAGCGTTTAAATTTAGATACGAGTGCGGTACATGTAGAACCGTCATTTTAAAATATCGCGGTACAATTACTTGTAGAACTATCGAAGATATCGTAAAAATTAGATGTAGATGCGGTACAATTATTTGTAGAACAATCGATATCGCAGTTACCGTCGTGTGAAAATACTTTCTATCGACCTAATAACAAACAGACAGAGCGAAAACTCCGGCTTGATTGATTTCAATCAAATCAAACATATCAAACTCAAGCATAGAACAAATTTATAATTAATAGTTAGAGCATAATAATGACGTATTTTCATACGCGTAAATAACCACGTAAACAAGTTGATTGAAAGAAAAAGAACATAAAGTAATACTAAATTGCAAAGACGTGATTTCACGTAACTTGCAAGACAGTATTCGACTGAAAGCTCCCATTGTCGCTCGATGAAGACTCTTTAAATATTGATCAAACATTAACCACACGTCTCGATGGAATTGATTAAAAAAGCTAATTAGTATACGAAATTCCAATCCCATACTCTATCTTTTGTCGCAGCATTTACGTGTCAAATTAAACGAATGCTTTTTCAATAGAAAATGAGAAGTTTCTATCATAGTCGATAGTTTGTTTCACAAGTACAGACTAAAATCCATAACGTATTAATAGCATATAATTGGTTAAAATTGGTAGATCGAACTAAATATGGTACGGACCATTCGAATTATTTAGGCATCTTTAAACCCCTTCAACTTTTTACACAGATATTATTTTTAAAATCTGACTGGTACTTTTGTTCTTCACAGTAAGCTCTACAAAGTTACCGGTTCAATTTTAAAAATAATGTCTGTGTAAAAAGTTATAGGGCTAAGAACAAGAATAAGATGTAATCATATTTACGATACGATACTATTGGTCAATTAAAATTGAAACAAATCACGTGATTGTCGAGTATAGACGTCCTGCACCATAGCAACCTCAGACGACGTTATTTCAAAAATTACTGAATACGTTCGGAAACGATACCATGAAACGATAGTATGTTTCCTATTGATTTTACTTTGCGTTATCGTTCTTGCTTGTTTTTTTTTGTCTGGTGTACATTGTTTTTCTTACCGGATTACAGAATTATGCGAATATTGATGTATCTACTCGCAAATATTAAAATTTCAATTCTGATTGTAGATTTGCATGAGTGAATCGTTTTCTAGTTGGAAACCCGCTTACACTTTCAGCAAACTAATCTTGCTGTTAGCCTTTAACATTAATATGTTTACTATGTCAAATTTAATAGTTAAGCATGAAAGTCGATATAATAATAACAGGGACACTGTTATATTGTGGCAATCTGCTTTCAGATTCATAAAATGTTTGTATTATGGAGCAGTTATATGTTACTTGATAGTTATCAAGTATGTCAATGTAAATATATGTTTCCTAACTTTCTCAATAAATACAAATTAAATCCCTACAATGATACTCCTATCACCCATCCCCAAATATACAAATGATTAAGAAGATTAAATATGCGCTTTTGTGGTCAAGAAAAAGAAGTGTACTGTACAGTCCTTTTTTCCTCTCCTTAATTGTTCCCATACCGAATCATACAAATAGTTAATTACATAAATAATTATTACTCCCAGTGTAGACCATCATAACACCCAAACTAATTCTCACCCAACCACTTAATCAGTTTCTCATTCAAATTCTGTGGCAAAAGTGGCTTGCTTAGATAATCATTCATGCCTGCTTCCAAGCACTGTTCGCGAGTCTCTTCTAGCGCAGATGCAGTCAATGCAATAATTGGGAGGTCTTGAAACTCCGAGCCCAAGGACCTGATTGCTCTCGTTGTCTCGAAACCCGACATACCGGGCTAGAATTTAAAAAACAAGTGAATAAATAAATAATAATCAACGATTATATTATAGGCAGATCTTAAAATTTTACACGTACCATTGCACAGTCCATTAAAATCAATGAAATTTTCACTTCAGAACGAGGAGATGCACTCGTCATGTATTGCGCTCGTACTATTTCAATAGCTTCCTCTCCGTCTACCGCCCCCAAATAACGATACCCTAATTTGTCTAGCAGAGATTTGACAATCTATTGAATAAAATGTTATAAATCAGGTCGAACTTTCGCATCTTGTTTGGAAAATGTCAGAGTATTCGGGCAGCAACATACTTTTTGAGTGATGTGATTATCATCCTAAATGTTTACAAACAAACAACAGTTGGGGTTATTAAGGGAATGAATATTCAAAACTCCATAATGTCGAAATATAAACAAATTTATTACCACGCAGAGAACGCATTTGGACGCTTTTGCAATTTTACTCGTTCCCCTTTCCTCATTGTCAGAAGCAGATCGCTTCCTTGGGACAAGTCCGGCGCTAACCCCTTCAGACTTGGAGTCGCTCACGGACTGCCTAACACCTCTAATTATGGCTAGTCCCTCTGTATCCTTCGTCGGCCGATTGTGGTTATAAAACTTACTATAAATCCACAAACTATTATTTTCAATTTCCGTATCACTCGTCTCCTCGAGTTTGGTCATAAACTTGTCAAAATTAGAAATACAGTCTATTACACGCTTCTGTAATATTGGCTTGCAAATGGCAACAACGTTTTCTCCGATTCTCTCGATCACGCTCTTTGCAAGAGCGCATCCATCAATCGACGAAAATACCATTAGCACAATTGATAAATGTTCGCCGCAAATATTCCTCAGTTCTTTAGCAGCAACCTCAACGGTCGCAGCATTATCATTTTTTAGACTGAAAAACACCAATTCACATGCAGGCTCGTTGCACCTTTTAAGTTCTCTGGCCGATTCAATTGCACTTTTACAGTCCGCATACGTATGTACTTTGTTAACACTTCCCCGTATCAACGCCGCATAAGATGTTCTTGCAATCTCCAAGGGATCGATAATGAACACACGCATAGACTTTGCTAATAAAAAGTCTTTAAATCCTGAACCACCTTGAGGAAACAATGTCGTGGGTATCGACGACGTGGTCGAATTATCAATATTCCAAGTAAACCAGAATGTGCTTCCTTTGCCAAATTCGCTATCAACACCGTATTTACCACCGTTTAAATCAATCAGGCTTCTGCATATAGAAAGACCCAGGCCAGAGCCATCTCGACCACGAGTCATTGAAGCATCTCCTTGCGAAAAGCTCTCCCAAATATGTGGGATAGATGCCGGATCAATGCTAAAGTAGGTTTGAATGAAATATGAGCCATACAAAGGAAGCGGAAGCGGAAAAAAGAGAGAGAAAAAAAGCATGAAACAAACCCAACGCCAGTGTCCGATACTTCTACATATAAATAGCTATTATTACTTGCTTCAGCAGCAGCAGCACCGTCGTCTTTTTTGATTGACAGCTTCATTACGATTTCACCACAATCCGTGAATTTGATTCTGGATGAAATGCCATGTCAGCGACTTGGGTTTTTTATACACAAACAAAATAATCGGCAAACTACTTACGCGTTAGATAAAAAGTTCATCATAACTTGCTGTAGTCTCTCCGGATCCGTATTTACATATCTTGGAAACGTCTCTGGATCATACGAAACAATAAATTCTATATCCTTTGCGCCAGCACGCTCGCCAAACATTATCACGGTCTTTTCTATGAGATCCAATAGATCAAAGCTGCGGCTTAACAACGCAAGCTTTTGCTGTTCTAATCTGGCTGCATCCAAAATGTCATTCACTACGGATAAGACAACGTCAGATGCACGCGACATTACTTCGACCATGTCTCGTTGTTCAAACGTAAGTTCGGTTCCTTCGAATGCGGAAAGAGCCCCGACGATTGCACCCACTGAAGTGCGAAGTTCTGTGGTTTTAAATGCAGATTAATCAATTGTGTCTCTATCAAATTCCCACTAAAACAAATATGATGTAGGGTCGATCATACCATGAGATGTATTGGCTAATATTTGATTCTTTGCTTTGTTGGCCTCCTTAGCAGCCTCCATTTGCGCCTCCCGCTTCAATTTCTCTTCGATGAGGATGGTGTGACAGATTGCTAAACCTATCTGATTTGAGACCTGTTGAAAAAATGTCTTTTCTTCCGCCGTCCATTTGCAATGTGGCTTTCGGTAGGCAAGTATCCATCCCCACAGCGAAGATTTCAAATAAATAGCTAAACTAATATAGGACACACGTCGATGCAATATCTGCGATTCAAAGTCTGTACAGACTTTAACATTCAAGCCACTGGAATCACTTAATTCGTCGGACAGCGAATCCGAGGCCAAAGACGCATTGCCGGAAGTTGTTGACAGAGGGTCGATAGCTGATTCCGTCATTGGTTGTATTTTATAATCAACCGCGGTCTCGTTATTGTCAAAACGATTAATCACACGCCCAACAAGCTCCTCTGGCGGATGCATTGAGGCTGCCATCACTTTGCAGTTTGTTCCCTCTTTTGTAACATTGTTTTGGATTATTAACAAACAATCACATGACAGTATCTTCTTTACTTCTAGAACGGCAGTATCAAGCGTTTCTTGTATTCCAAAGCCCGAACGTATTTTGTTGCTTATTGTAAATAACAGTTTGTTAGTCTCAAATTGACGCCGCTGTTCAGCAATCAGTTGGCGACGAACGTCTGAGAGTTTGATGTTCACATGAATACGAGCCATAAGTTCATGAGCATCAAACGGTTTGACTATGTAATCATCTGCACCCTTTTCCAATCCTACATATATTCATTCAAGTTAACGTTGTAGTCAACAAAGAATGTGTTTAACAAGCACCAACTCTTGTTGACACTTACCTTCAACACTAGCTTCTCCCGCTAAAGCTGATATTAATATCACCGGAATAGTTTGTGTGGTTGGATCGCTACGTAGTGCGGTGAGCAACTCGTAGCCATTCATGCCGGGCATCATAACGTCTAAGTGAGTAAATATAAAGCTCTCAATACAAGAACGTTCCCCGTTTCTGTTATTACACTCGTACAATTCATCAAGGTCTTACCGCTAAGGACTAAATCAGGTGATCGCGGTGAACGTTTTATGATTTCAAGGGCATCATGGCCGTTAGCAGCACATATGCAGTTGAATTGTTTCTTAATCAAAGTGATCAAGTAGTTTCTAATAATCAAATACCGTCTACATTAGATAAGATATAACCCCACTATTATGAAACGATAATAAAAGTACTGAACAAACCTCATATCCGCATTATCGTCGACAAGCAGAACATATTTTCGCGTATTGTCAAAGCCAATGCAATCCGTGTCCACATTTGATGATGATCGCACACGTTTCAAATTATTGTCATCGACTGATATTGGATCTTTTTCACATGACCCTGGACTCGACCCGGACAGCTCTGCGTACAAATCTTGGGCAAAGCTAGAATCTTGTTGATCACTTTCGAAGCGAACTTGCTTCCGAGGCAGATGATCAAATCCAGCGGGAATCCATACGCGAAAAGTGGTGCCTACATTCACTTGAGACTCGACCGAAATCTCACCGTCGTGTCGAGCGACAAGCTCCTTGACGAGGGCAAGACCGATCCCAATGCCTTCACTACTGCGTGAGTGTCGTGATTCGACACGGTAGAAACGTTGGAAAATTTTGGAAAGCTGTTCTTTGTGTATGCCAACGCCTGTGGACAACAATCGTCAGTTGTTTAGGTGCACGTCGCGAGTCTATATAACAAACTTGCATCGACACCCCGTACCTGTATCAGATACTTCGAGTACCACACCGTCTCTCTCCCTCCTTTTTTCAGCAAATAGTCGCACAGTCACCCCACCAGTCCTTGTATGGTTAAACGCGTTTGAACCTATAAGGATACGAACAGATTAGTCCCAAAGATATAAAATTAATAATCCCACTGCATGATATAATAAATGTTTATATTTACATAGGTTAAAGAATATCTTTTCGTACATATCCCGATCTAAAAAAATTTTCTGTTTCATCTGACGGACAAGTTCCCCATCGCTGGGGATACCGAGTTTGTAATCAAGCCCGAGAAATTTAGTCATGCTTTCGTAATTGGCGGCCAACTCCATTGTCAGCCTTGCAATATCTGACTCACAAAACCATGCGTGATGTCGACCCGCTTCTGTGTGAGCGAACTATAAATGGCGTTATTGTCAATATTTATCAAACAGTACGATGTTTATACGTCATTTAGCAAATAGGTTATACCTGTAACAAAGTGTTTACTAAATTGAGAAGTCTTCGGTTATTATTTTGAACTACTTTGAGATAACCCAGCGTTTGAGAGTCCTTTGGGCATAATTCTATTGCCTCTCCCAAAGGCAAGAGCATAAGACTCAAAGGGCCTAATTCGACAATCGGACAAGGTTAAGTGGACTCGATAGCAAATCTGGTAAAGCATAGCGACACACGGAAATAGACATACTTCGTAACTCGTGACTGATATCTTGAAAGAATAAAATTTTTTGCCTATCCAAGTCAGCCAAGTTATGTGCTTGCTTTCGTTCCGCTTCTCGTACCCGACTCCGCGTCAAGCAAGAGCTCACTCTGTCAATGGCAAGCTACAAAGGTAAAGCAAAAGTTCGATATTAGGTTTCTAGATAACGTCTACAAACTCTCAAACAATTGAAAATCGTACCTGAAAAAACTCCTCGTATTCTTTATCGAGCATTCGACGTTTATTAACGCCACATATCATCACAGCAGTCGACACACTTTTCCCATCGACTATTGACGTTATCGGACATAATAAAGCCGTCGAGTTATCACGTAGTTTGGTAACTACGTTCTGGTTAGTAGCTATTGCATGTTTTATCGGCCAGTGTTCAGATACAGTGTGCGCTGTCGTATTGTCTATATCTTCTGTTAAATCTATCAAATCAGGCGTATTAAACAAATAATTCGGCAAATCTCGGCTCGATTGTCCAGGAAAATACATATATTCTTCCGTCCCGTCCATGCCTTTGACAGGTACTAGATCACGATCGAACGTTGTGGCTTCTAGTCGCAAACTTTTTGGTTTGTACTCAGAATCTGTTATTTGTTTCTCAATGAGGTAAATTATGACGAATGGTATATCCGCATTATCTTGGAGAACTGTGGTGATTAATCGGCAAGCATGTTCTACAGATCTCGCCCCTACGTGAATATAACGGAGATTATGAGCGATTTTACTGCACCATATGTCTTTTATACGGTGGGATGTTCACATACCTTGTATTCCGTATGTGAGATCATTTATCGTTTTCAGTCTTCTGGTCAAAAGCACTTTTCTTGTCGTCTCTTCCAGAATACAGATTACTCCTCCTATACTCCCTGTGTCAGTAAATATTGGACTGAATGAGAGTGTAAAGTACACTTCTTCCATATACCCAAAACGCATGACGTGTAAAGGATAATCGTTTTTGAATTGGGCCTTTCCAGCAAAAGCTCTATAACACAGAAATAGATAACATTAGCAATTCAACGTCTTTCACTACCGTTAATGCGAATGGAGACATACGTTTGAAACAGTTCTTCGATAGAGTTGTCCGCCTCGGTGAGCGTTTCAAACGCAGACCTTCCCAAACCTATTGACATAAATACGATTAGGATACGCACAAGACTTCTACTAGCATCACGTGTCATCATAATTTAATGATGGAACTTGTATACTCACGCGAAGGATATGTTGACTGAAAGGTATCCCTCCACTCTAATAAAGTGGAAAAGGAATGAATGATTCGAGCACTTTATGTGAATGCATGGTAATGGCCCCACGATATATGTACTTACTCTGATTGTGTATAACCGTCCTCTCGGGACCAATATACAATTGTGTGGGAAGTACAGAATGAAGACATAAATCCTGAACGTTAATTTAAGAGTGTGAATTAGTCCAATTGATTACTCTTGCGAGAAACTTTTTAGCCAGAAATACTTTTGTATTAATTGATCACAATTTTTATACGTGCTATGTATATCGACTGTTTTTTCGACAATGTGATTTTCTATGCTTCAGCTCTACCGTTACTTACCACAACAGACTTTAGCCATAAAGGCCAGCTGTTCGCAGGCCCCAGAGAAGTGGACGCCCAATCGACGGAAGATATTAATTCCGTCACCGTTACTCCATCGTCAAAATCGCTCGAAGCTGTTGGTTCTGAATCTGGAGTGGTTATAAAGTTCAGCATCTAAGTTTCACCTCTTACGGTCGTAAGACATACATGAGCGAAGTGATATAATATCGAATAGCCTTATATTATAATTGGGGAAAGGTCTTAAAAGTTCACATTTATGGCTACGGTGGTTTCGTTTCGTGAGACTATGATTGGTGCAAATTAAAATGCAACTTTAAATCAAAAACTCGGGCTTATGATAGCGGGGGGCACAAAATATTTGCAATTCAGGTTTGTTTGCTCATGTAAGTCGATATTATGTAAGTTGTCGGGATTAGAGAAACGAGTAGATTTGCGTCACCGGGAAAGATTACAAATATGCAATTTAGGCATTTGGGCTGTCAGTTTACTTTTCCATAAATTTCCGAAAAAACAGCTACATGATTTTTAATCCAGTGTTTGGACTCCGTGTTTCGCTGTGTCAAATAAAATTCAGCCTTGATTTATCTCTGTGTCTCGATGCGTGTGGAATGAAATTCTGTAATGATTGATAGCCATAATAGTCTAAACTGGGCTTCGATTGAGACCATGACTATTAAAATAGATTACATTGTGAGGGTATTTAATAAGGAAGTGTTATCGTTAATGTTAAGTAATATCAAGTTCATATAATCCCGATTTTAAGGGGGTAATAAATTTAAAGTAAACAGCTGGCATATTCTGCACATAGGAAAGAAAATCTTAATGTCGATAGTTATTATGGACAGATGAAGTCATGCTGATAATGGCACAAGAAAATCGAATATGCTCATATTGTGGCACGATGCATAGACAAATTTGATAAGCAATTGAGTAAACAAATCATTGGTCTACGAACGGCTGGAAGGATCCATACTGGTTCTAGAGTGCAACGAACACCTTGCACGAGAATGTATCGATCTTACAGAAGGCACCTCTTACCCTCAGTCAATAGAACCTAATTCTTCCATTCCCAATTACATATGTACCACTGTGCAGCAATCGTTCCAGGATATTGATCTACAGTGTAACGTTTTATTAACCGGATACCGTAATCCACAAAGACACTGTTATTAATAAAAACATATCTTTGGCGATCCGTTCTCTCATCAACGGCTCTCTAATCGGAACTTGAGAACATTTTTTTGCTTCCGAGTCTTCGTTCAGTCAGACTTTCAAATTTGTTCTTCAAGACTTCAAGCATGAATATGGGGAGGCCATTATTCTCTAAAGAGTAGAAGCAGAATTTAAAACCTTCGCGGTGAATGGTCGGCATCTTTGATAATGTTTTAATTTTTGGTGATAATATGCGACTTTACGCTCGCGCATTGACCTTTAATTTATTTGATCTTTCTTTCTTTCCTCCGGACTTGGAGATGGCTAGCTACGCCACTGCCACATTGGCTTTTGTTGGCATGAAAAACGAATTAGGAGAAATTTCCGAATCATTACAAATGCCAGTTCTTATAAGAAAGTTTTTTTCTCATACCAGATATTCGAAAAAAGGCTTGAGAATTTTCATCGTGTTTAGTCGATTAACAACAGAAACTGACATACAACGATTGAGATCGATTTCGAAAAATCAAGCAGACTCATACGTGGGGGGCCTGAAAACTTTTGCGCGTAGACCAGAAATTTCACAATAATTATCGATACAACCATTTCGTTCTCTCAAGGTAGTCTCCATTGATGTCCATGCGACGGTGCAGATAATTCTGGGCAACTCTGGAAAGACTTTTCATAGCCGGCTTTTGAGATGGTTTCAGCAACTGCCTGACAACCCTTGCCAAATTTTCGACCTTATCAAATCTTTTTTCCTTCAGTTGTTTTCTTATTCGAAGGAATAGGAAAATCACAAGGAATACGGTCTGGACTGTACGGCAAGTAGGGAGAAAAGTTCACTCGTTCGTTATGATTGCCTTATGTGGCGCAGCATTATCGTAATAAAGCATGACGTCACGAAACAGTTGTTCTTTCCTTTTCTTCCGGAGGCTCAGCTCATTATGCAAAATGCAGGAATAGAAATGTGCAGGTTGTTGCTAACAAAATCCTCGATCTTGGCAATCTTTCTGACGTCACTGCTACATCCAGAACGAGCCTGTCTTTACTTACTTCTTACTCCTCTTTGAATGTAGCATTCAGCATCTGATTGTATTGGTAGACAATTCTTGTTTCCTTTCTACATTTACCAACTTTTCGTAGATTCGAGTTGCATTCTGCCATTTTCTAAGAAGCAAAATAAAGTGTCGTTAGCTCTTACGGCTAATTGTTCCCCAGTTGTTTTATTATACTTTACAAAAAAATGGGTCCTCGACAATGAGATAAATGAATTGTTACGCGCATTTTATGATTATTCCCATTTTTGTTGCAATCTCGGGTTATAAAGCCACACGCAAAACTTTTCAGCCTCACCACGGGGACTTTTTTTTTCATAACACAAAATAATCTTAAACGCCACACAGTTTTGTGGCGTGTGCAGTTGTGAAGTGTACATTCTCTACGTCATTTGCATTACGTAATCTTTAGAACTCACGAAAGAACGTTGACACACCCTCCCCCGTCTCAAGTTCTCAAGATGTTGCAAACAGTAAAACGAAAAATATGCGATATCTTCTTGTTCACGATGTGGGGACTGGGCTATCAAAATTGTGGTGGGCAATCAAAATGGTGGTAAAAGGGTCTGGTTACACAAAAAGTAATTTTACGCAATCTTCTCTACGTTTTTATTTCAAGTACGTTAGCAAAATTATTTCCAATTTGTGTAGATCCATTTAAGGATAAGAACCCGTTTAACTGGAGAGGCTATATAAGCCAGTTGGATTTTGGTCATCTTATCATTAAAAATAAATTTAGCAATTACGAAAAACCCTTTTCTGCTATATAAAAAATAAACTATTTAGACTTTTGTTTTTCTCTTCCGTTCTCGCTCTTATTATATGTTTGTTTCATAACCGTGCTCTAAGCGGTCGTTATTGTCTTGTAATCGTTTTATGATTGCTAACGCAACCTTCTTTCTCGACCTCTGCTAGGTAGAATAAAAACCACGTTATACTAATAAACACGTTTGCTGTTTCGGAAAGACTCGATTCTCAAAGACGCTTTTCAAACTGTTTTCCATTTTCGCAAAGTTTTTGTGATTATTATGTTCTGGCCCGTAGCCTGTTTCCCAGTAGGCACATTATCTAATATCACAACCAATAAGCGACATCCAATCAACATTGTTATGTGATAATAGCGAAATAAATGTGCTTATTATTTCGAACTGGACTGAATTTCGACACGTGCTAGAACAATCAACGACGCTGTCCGAGCGATTTGATTATTTGACGATGCTTAGCTTGTATTGATCGTACAAACAAATAGGTTTATCCTATAGTAACAATATTATTCCAGTCATGTAGCAGATTATTAGTACCAATGGCATACATTGTTTTGCTTGTCTGTACTATTCTAATCTGGCAGGAGATAAAATATATAATCAACGTAGAGCTTGCTTGCTTGCGCTAGCCATCTGCTGCGGATGCTGTCTTCATATGCCTACGGATACGTAATAGAATAATAACAAACTTCAAGCAAGACTAGAGATTCAATTGAAGTGATTACTTGCTATCGCTTCCCTTACTTTTGTAGTTGAGAAGACACTTCAATTATTACTAAGGATGTCTAAAAAATAACTCATAACAACTTTTTTTATTCTTGGTTCGCTTTAATTATTGTCTTAGATTAAAAGGTTAACAGCCTGTGATCATACACGAGCGGCAATTCTTGAAACTGATTGCTATTATTGTGTAGTGCGATAAAACGTTAGGGTATGGTCAAACTTCAATATAAGAACACAGTCCTATCATCTATATTGAGTTTATTCATTCACTAATAAGTAACGTTGCTCCTTTATATAGAGAGAAAGTTCGATTGTATGTGGAAGCATACGTGCATATCTTGTATGTGTAATCTATCTCATGTCATTTCGTTGAACTTGCAAGCTTTATATTTACTTTAGCGCATAAAAAGTATCATACAATTGCTTATATGCGAAGAATGACTTCATGTCATTTACTAGTAATTTTCAAGTATTGCCAAAGACTTTGATAGGGGAGTGGTGTACCTTGTTTGTTGTAATAGTAAAAGTTCTTTGTTCGTGTTGCAGGGCGACAATATTAATATCTCCGGAACCAAACTTGTAAAAATCGACATCTCGACCATTATAATGAGAGTCTACGTGATAATAAAGGTGAAGAATAATGTAGTTAAATTTAAGCATAGTAATCCATCGTCGCTTATCACTATATCCTCTTTCTAAATTTATTAATGTATTGTTGAAGCAAAGGCCACTGTATTTAACATGCTTATTTCTTCCGAACAAAACAAGCGGTTCAGATTTAATAGATAACCAGAAACTATGAATTTTTTTATTTGCGCACGAGTAAATACGCCCCTTGGAAAGATTATTGATAACTTGAATTCCTGTTTGTTAATCTGAACTTTCAACATTGTCAACTTCAGCAGGCTTTGACTAACTTTTCCACGTCTCATTATGTTTTAGTGAATAATTTGCCCCAAGTTTATCTTTATCTTTATCTAGACCGTTATTTAATTGTCTTTTCTTTAACATTTGCAAACCTCATAACCACTTGGTATGTTGCACTAAGTAGCATTCGGTGCTGCATTTTCTATTTTCGCTGCTAGTTATCGATATATTAGATAAACGTCAAGTTACCAGACAAGATATCCGTATTTCTCCTTGATTCCACCAATCGTCGAGACTGCTGTGCCTTTTCGGCAAAAGTTCAGATAACGAAATATTAAATTAATTGCGTAACCACATTAGATAACGCTTATCCACAAATCATCAATCTGTAGAGACACCGTGTACAGCTTACATAATCTCGGCGGATAATAGTTTTTTTTTCCTTGTTAAGCGTTTTACGTGCTTTATTGCGCGGATTATCAAGGTATTTTCTTGATAAAATCATAAATTACGCCAAACTGCTGCTCTTAATGTAACGTGTGAGAAAATATAAAAAGTTATCGTTTTGTAATTAAATATTAAGTTGCGTTTCTGTGTCCCTTACGAACGTGACTTTGCAATGACATTATTTGCACACTTGTGGATTTGTGTCGTTTGCACAATCATACAAAAATTTTTAATAGAATAAAGCCTATTGTTATCGTCATCTACCCCCAAATAATGGCGGATGATAATCTGGAGAAAAAAAATTAAACAAGTTTGCACCATGCACAGGCCAAAGGACAATCATGCATAAATTGCATATGCATATAATTGGCATACAGTCTAGTTCGATGTAGAAAAGTCGTTCACATAACGAACGCAATATGCTAGAACGTACTAGAATGTGTTGGTTTTACGCGTTACAATTTTATTCAAATCATTGACCATAAAGCGCCATGTATTACTATGTATCAAAGGCACCCATTTCGGACTAATTTATTAAAAACTATATCCGAATAACGTATCACCACTTGACCAAATAGAAAACTGGATTGGGGCACTAGCCTACATCTATTAATTTGCATGTAGCCGGTTTTTTTCTTTGTTGTTTATCAAACGTTTCAGATGCTCAAGATAGCTGTATTCCCATTACTAATCACAGTTAGCCTCATCTATTCTTAAACTCTTTGTTGTTGCGTTTATGAAAAGATAATCTAATTTACTGTGTCATCTTTGAAATTTTCAAAATTTGTTTGCGATAATGTCGCAAATTTTATGTAATTACATGTTAAGTCATATTATGCGTAAAAAAATGGGTTGCTTTCAAGAGACTTGACAGTGTTTAGAGATGGTTCTATCTAATAAAAAAGAGCGTAAGTTTCTCGTCGACAATCACTAAGAACTGAGCTGAGCGATAAACAATGGCGCTGTGGTTGTTATGCGCAAGGTGAGACAAATTGCCATCTTTTTGCTTCATACTAAAGTATGCAAGTGTTCCCGTGCGACATTTTCCAGGTGCGGCATTTTTTCAAGTCATGCAGGTGCGGCATTTTTGCAACAATGAATTTAATTAAATATGGTAAATTGGCACTTGAAACAATGAAATGTTTGCGGCATTTATTAAACGTAAATCTTTCTGTGTTACATCTATTGAGATGCGGCATTTTCTAAGACTTTCCGTGTTACATCAACTGATGTGTAGCATATTTTGATAGGCTGATGATAAGGTTGTGACATGTAAACAATTAATTTGGAATTGTGTGTACAAGCCTCCAAATCTTTGATAAAAGGACGAAGTCGTTGCCTTCCCTTTACTCCCCAGGTTCACTTTAACAAAGCACAACAAAGCAAACCAAACCAAACTCTCAAACTCTCAAACTCAAACTAACTCAAGCAATGGAAAACAACAACGGGTCAGCACAAGAATGTCGATTACCAAGTTTGCAGACTTTTACCGTACTAACTGATCTCGAATTATACAGATGCACATGCGGTTCTGGCTGCACTTGCGGTGAGGGATCAAACGCCGGATGCGGATGCAACCAATAAAGAATGCAGGTATATATGCTAATACAGGCGTCTATACTAATTGCAATAACATCAACTATGCTTATTTATTAATATAAATTATAATATTTTCGTAGCAACAAATCATTATTCGAAAACGAATGTGAAAGGCTGCAAATAATGTCTCTATTTATTCGATCATCAAAGCTTTCAAAGGAGCTATGAGATATTCGATCCTAAATGTCTCTATTATTGTTCTCAGAATTGTATAATAAACACTAAGCATATCGTAATTTACATGTTGCAATATAACAACGAAATCGCATTAAAAGTGTCCCGTGTTACTCTACAAACATGTTATCTCTAAAACAAACTTGAAACGTAATGTATCTAACGAGTTATCATTATAAGTATCAACGTTACCAAAAGTCCCTTACCATACGTTTTTATTATTCAACTCGACAAATTAAACGTTATTCCCCCATATCAAATAAGCAATACCGCCAAAATTTTTATCGTCTACCATGCTTATTCGAATGGCATCATTACGGTCGAACAACCTCTCGTCGGAAATGTGACACAACAAACCAATATTACTGAAAACGGTTATACTTTAACGATCAAGTTAACCTATTTTGAGCAGCAGCAAACAGTGTGGTCAATTTGATGTAATCTTGACCCACAGCATTGGTGGACGTTTTAAAAACGCATTTGATAAAACAAGAAAATATTCTTCAATATTTGTAATGGTCTTTGGTTTTTGTAAATAATTTCGTAAGCATAAAAAACGAAACGAATGCAAACGCGACAGTTCCTCGAACGCAATTTCCACTACAAAATCCATTCTCTTTGACAGTCCATAAGTAAGGATTAACTCTACCAAAAGTTTTCCTATTCTTAGACAACCGGTTTTTTTTCCTGGTCAAGCATACGTTGCACTAAGTAGATGCCCAAGTTGGAACCACATTCAAATACAATTTTTTCATAAAAACGCTTTCATTACAGACCCAGAGTACTACAACAATATAAACGATTAGAACAAATAGCATCAAATTCCTTACCAAAGTTTATATTTAGTCAAAAAAAAAATTGCACATAAAAATTATAACATTTTCTCATTGTAACATTAGCTTCTTTTAATAATAAACCAAATATCGAAACCCCCAATAACACAACGTTACCCATGCCTAGTAAAAAAGAATATCTCTCACACATAACAAACTCGGTACTATTATACCAAATTTTAATTACAGTCATGTCTCTTTTAATCCCCACCCTTTAATATCCCAACCTCGGATATATCCCACCTGTAAAGCGGGACGGATTTTCTTTATCGTATTTATATATAAATTTACCGCATTAGTGTCCCGATATTTTTGCTGTCCCAAATTTCCATATCATATAACGATAATAATTATACCTCCCCTATTACTATTTACTGTTTACTGCTGCACAAATCGATTTATTATGAGAGTATTACACAAAATGTCATGTTACGTCTATTTTACGTCCTGCACAAACTTTTTCCGTTGTTAAAATAATTAGCAAAAAATATCAAATCGCTGAAAAGCGATCAAGTCATCTGAAAACGTTCTGCAGCAACACGTTGAAGAAGACTCAAGCGACGATCAGGAAACGATAATTTCAATGTGGACGCGAAGACAGGCACTTGATGTATTTAAAAGGTTTTTAGAACAAAGAGATTTTACAACAGAAAATGATGTAAAGCATATACGTAATATAATTTGACGTTTAGATGAGTCTGTAGATCGCGAGAAACTTTTATTCACAGCAAGATGCTCGCTTAGATAAGTCTGTAGAAAAGATTAAACGCCAAACTTCACTAACCGAATTTATTAACCAATAAAATTGCATGTTTTAAATACCTCTTTTATATCCCACCTCTTTATATCCCCCAAAACTCCTCATCCCAAAGTGAGGATATGACTGTAAACGATTCAAACCAGGAGAATTACAAACCACCAAACCACTATATAACATTAAGTCAATTACTGTTACACTACAAAAAGCTATTTTCTGCCCGCCAATGGCGGCAGGCTACGCCCTCACCTGCTAGTTATCATAAAGGCGATGATCATGAAGAAGTAGAGGGGTTTAGGAATATATAATAAAAAACTGCTGTACCATGGTAACAAGCACTGTGTAACAAACCGATCATAGTACATGGTCTTGTAATTCCACGGATTAATATCGTTGATTATAATTTATGATTTTAATGCAAAACTTGTTTGTAGTTCTATTTAACTATCGAACAATTTTAGTTATCGTAAACGGAAACGCAGCCCCCAACCCGTTCCACAATACTCGTTAGGCGTTTGCAAAATGTTATAGTACTAAGGTTTTTATTCAGAGTTATAAATGCAACCAGTAACGAAGAGTTTAACGATTCAAAATTTTTAAACACACTTTGAAACAAGATATGGTCCGAACACTAAAGTTTTACTGAACAAAAACTGCTACAAAAACTAGACTTTATAATAATTACTAATCAGATACTCAATAAAATCAAACAATGTTCAATATATTGATATTTTCGTTTCTTATTCCATCAATATCATACGCGTTAACAAATGTTACAATGTTGATTTTTAATTCCTGCAGCGCCTCTGCTTTGTAACAATTGCTACTCGGAAAAACAACAATTTTTCAACGTCTTATCCTCGACTTTCAACCGGATAAATTCTTTCTCGATTCGATGCAGATAATCAGTAATTAATTCATAGACTTCACCGGGTATTATTTCGTAAAAAGAATCAACAGACGTCACATACTCTTCACTGACACCAGACATAAGTTTTAACCCATATGCTTTGATTCTTTTCAAAAAGCTATCAAATTCCTTATCGTTAAGCATCGTATATTTTTCAAATTTGCCCAACATCAGGTAACCCCCATAATCGTAAGATTGGACAAAAAAGGTCTTCCCTATCAACGACAGCGTAAGTTGGAATATACAGCGTGTGCCACGTTCGTGTTAACAATGCAAAGGCTTACTGGCAGAAACTTGAAGGGGTGTCTTGGCAGTTTTACTAAAGCTTTCGTCTACAATTACGTCTGGTCCCAAGTCTACAGTACTTTTGTGCTTTCGAAGAGTAATTATATTATTATTTACTTGATTCAAGTCGGGGGTTAGCTCACGCTTGACCGCATTTTTCAACTGATTCACGTTTCCTGTCTCAAATTCGAGACTAACTGGTTGATAATCTCTATATTTAACCCAGAGGGTAAAAGGCATTTTAACTCTGATATTTGTGAAAGCCTTTCGGGCAGCAGTAGTAGCCCGCATTTTTGTACTTCAAGGTAAACGAAAGTAAAAGATTTTGATAACAGAGTTTGAGTTCACGCCTTTATTCCACATTAGACAACAACCCCTCAAAAATTTATGTAATCAATGAAGACTATCTGGAACTCTTGCCGTTTGCCAAAGTTTTATAAATAATAAACCTGGTTATAACAAATTTTACTAATAAATCTGTTATTGTCTGTGAACTCGTAGTTCCAAGCCCAAATCAAAATTTTACAGTCATCTCCTATTACTATGTAGTCACACTTCCTATACAGTTATAGGATCTCGTTATTCCGTTACCAAAGTCCAGAATGCATGATTTTGTATAAATTACTGGTCGATTTAATCACGTGTTTGTATAATGATTGATTGTCGTATGATGTCATCAGCACTGTAAATTTGCTTGATGCTGTCGTTTTCATTAGATAGATTACAATGAGCTCAAGGTTTTGCGTTCGTTAAAACATAACATGGAGTTACATAGTATTACAAACTAGAAGCAGTCTAGAATAAATTCATTTCTTCGTAATTAGTTCGGCTTATTCTTCTGTCTTTACGTTGGAGTTCATTTGACAATCTAATAAAATATCATATCGGTATACTGAAATATTACTTGACTATAGTCTAAACTTTGTTACAAAGAGAGTGTCTTGTTTTACGTTATAAACGAATCATAGATGCCTCCCCGGCGGCTTCGGTATATCGGGAACCGACTGTACATTCAGGGGAAAATAGACTTAATCAGGTGATAAAGGTTACAAATTGCTCGCTTTCTTCCAAGCCAAATCAGAAAGCATATTTCTGAGAGTACAGAGTTACTTTTCATGCACAGACAGTTACGAAAATGTTCGGCTGTTAAATTATTTGTATGCAAAGTTTTCTTATCTATTATATTTCTTACTCGTCATTTCAGCAAAAATTAGTAGGTAAACTGGATTTTTGTTTAAGTTATTAATAAATTAAATAAACTTTAGTCGTATGAATTTAAACTTCCTTAATGCGGTCTCTTGACGTGCAGTTTTATGTTTTGTACGCGCAATGTATTTGAAAATGTTTTTTTTTTTTTGTTTTTTGTTTTTTGTTTTTGCCAAACGTGGAACCGAAATCCTCCGTTCTTTAGTAGAAAAGGTTAAAAGTAGCTCGGCTTTTCCCTACAATTAAAATGCCCATCCATGCAAAAATTTTAAACAAAAAAACAGGACACAATAAATTTAAACATTTTGCGTTATCAGCATACAATGTTTTACTAGAACACGTTGAAGTTTTTGTTATTTGTTTTGTATTTTATAAAAGACAATAAAACCATATTATATAAAACAAATTTTCTAACACTAATCCGAACGGAATGAATGCGAGATTGCAACTCAATACGTTAAAAAAGTCTTTAACCAGATAATGTTGAAATTAAATAAGTTTTATGTCTTACATACCGTTACGATAAAATGACACGATATGTAAATAATCAACTTATAAGTTATAGGTTTCTTACTCCGAGATTAAAACTTAACAGTTTACTAAATCCTTACGTACGATTGCTTAGTTTATTACTTTTCCTCTATGATTTTAGATCATTGATGCTTTGAACAAAATTCACGTTCTCGGAACACCAGAAATTTGCAATAGATTAGAAGTCAAACGAATTTAATACGGGTTACTTACAACGACGCAGTAAACTGTCTAACAATATTTAGCCGGACGTTATCAAATAATGAGATGCAATTATCTTACCCTCCGTTACGATATTAACTAGTCGTTGTTACCTTTCGTATACCATTATTTATGTCAAGAGGTTTCTCAGCAAAGGTTAAGCAAAAAACTTCTTTGATGCTCGAGAACATGTGTATGGTCAGTAAGGATCTTTTAATATCTACATTATGTATTAAGTTTATTAGAAAACAGAAATTACAGAAATTAATAATAAAATTTGCAGACTAATTTTTTTTCTTGCTTGACTAAACATAAAAAATTCAGCTAAGAGGTAAGAGAAATATTTTATATTAATTTCACGTATGCTATTTTTTCATGTCTTGCGGAGAAGTTGTGTATAAACACATTAATGGAAAAATTACGTGTTCACAAATTTCCATTCCGTTGTGAGTAACCACGTACATTGTGAATTTGTGTGAGATCGATGAGAGTACCATTAGTTAGGCCAAGTCTCAAGTTTCAGTCACCAATTTTACAGCGTAAAACAATACAAAGCCATGTGAGAGCTCGATTTCCCCAATAATAATATATAAATTTATTTCTCTATGCTGTTAATACCTAATTCTTTATTCTTTAGACAAATAAAAATTATTCGCTCTTATGGCTGTTATATCGCCTGTTGCAATAAATTAATTGCTATAATCTAGTAATAACGATATACTAACAACCAATAAAAGAAATAGTAGACACTAAAGAAGAGAAAGAACCAAAACACCGCATTTCGAAATGTTGCATACAATTTCGCTTTGTAGACGTCTTTCATAATCTTGGAATATTTTCCTGAAGACGTGTAATTGTCATTTCTACATTCAAGGGTATCTAAAAAGCAAACAACAACAACAATGAAAAAGTGTCCAAATCACGTAACTCTGAGATGAAACAATAACCAAAATTTGCTAACAAAAATTCGATGCATAAAGGTCAAATTACCTGTATATTCTTTCCACTCTCATAATTGATTGAATAATGAACAAAAAGACTTCCAGGTTAATATCACCGTTTATAGTAATTACTGCTTGTCCGTGACCTGTAGCAATTGTCATCATGCTTGTATTGTTGGAAAAGACGGAAGTTTGCTCTTCTAATGCTTGACGACGAATCGAGGCTTCGCTGTAAATGTTGGGGTCGTAACCCGTCGTTGAATCGTTAACTCTGTTTTCATCAACGGGTCCGTAATGTGTGACATTCAATGGTTCATTTCCACTCAAACAAACGCTATTATGGTCGACAGGACAAGTATCAGGAAAAGAATCTTGGCTGAGAGGTTGGGGAGACACTTGACTAGGAAATTGGTAGTCCATATTGATTGTTTGATCCGATGGAAAATGGTTTGCGTAAGCCGGATCTGTATCGTGCATCTGATTCCAAGAAAGACTGCCTGTGTAGTTAGAATCCCTACTATTCATATCCGATGTCGAGTGGTATAGCAATAAAAGATAAACGGTGGTTGGCTTGGAGAGGCGGCAGATACAGTTCGTTTATATATGGAATAGTAGCACAACGTACGCTATATATTTATATAATTTTAAAGTACGTTGTCAAAAACCCATTATTTTGTACAATAATCTGACCTGTGACACAATCTCGCATTTGGCTGTCTAATGCTTACGGTTCAACTAATCAACCAATAACGATAACACCTGGATACTGATACATTATTTGTAATCTGACCTGTGACACAAAACTTAGTTTGTGACACATTCTCGCATTTGGTGCTTTCTGGCAAGTGAAAACTTACGGACGGCAGTCGGTAAACCCGGGTACTTATTTGTTTACTCGAAATAAAAATATTATCACACATATTTATGTTTTCCCTGTTATTGGTCACATACCATAACTACATAACTACACGTGATCCCTGATTCCGCAACGATACTTGCATTGTCTCATTGACGATTGTTTACGACGTATCATCTCAGTTATATTACATGCATTGCGATAGGTTTTATTTGGAGACCTTTATGGTAAACCAGATATGGAGACGCCAGTAGGTCTCGGGGGAAACGGAACGTGTTTAAACATACCATTAATGTACTTGACATCTTAAAAGACCTTGAATCTACATTGGAAATGTTCTCTTACACCACACAATCTCCACATACATATTATTGTCTCATCACTTATCAAATCCCCCACTTCGCTTTTTTTTCTTCGGTTGACAACTGATCATTTTGCATAAAAAATATTTACCTTTTTTATCGGTGAAATAAGCGGACTTTGCAATAGCGGTCTGGTCTCATTGAACATGATTGAGAACCAATAATTTTATCCATAGCGCATATAAAGCGAGTCCATGTCCATTCTCACCATTCACGAATGAAGTTCCATAAGTAGACCCATCGTGGGCATAAAGCCATACCTTCCGAATCCAACACCAAACGTATAGTCGTAGAAGAAAGTAATGGTTGAACTAGACGCTCCGTAATATTTCTACCGTCGATGGAGGTAGCCAAAGCCCCCCCCCCCCCCCCCCAAGGGAACATTATTATTGCGCATTCTTATGTGGTGGTGAATAGAAGGTACGTTTTTATGGGGCTCTGGAGAATGGATAACTTAGAATGCGATACGCTTCAGAGGATTTAAAATAATCTCACATGTTGAGTCTTTATAAGATTGACAAGAGTCAAATAGAAACAACACACAAGCTCCAGCTCAAAGCAGTGATGAAATATCGTCACCAAGTGATTTCTTTTGATACAAGCGTCCCCAGCGAAGGAACCGATAGAGTGGGAACGGGGAACGAGTGTACGTCAGATTGTGACACTCATAGAAACAGACGTGGCACTCGAACCGCCTTCGAGGCTTAAGGGATGAAACGTCATCACGGACCGAGGTACAATATATCCGAAAGGGTAAGCTCCGTAAACGAATACTTTCACCAAAAAAGACGAATCAAACCAATGTTCGTGATAATTGAAATCACCAGCATGGCCATAGACGAGCCAAATGACGTAGACAGGCATAAATAATCTTGCGACCGGTAAAGAATGTTGGTAATCGTCCCGTCGGAAGCAAACGTGCGCATGTTAAACAGAATTGCAATACGCGCAAAGGAAAACTGTTTTTGTCTCGCAATATGATCGTGAGGAGTATTATTCCGCGCTCCAGTTTTTAATTTTTTTCAAAGCATGTAGAATGAGTGACAGCCTTTGTCGACCCGTAGTGCAGCTTGGCATTATGACACCGTATTAACGGGAATTTGCGTATCGAAACACTAGATGATCCTGTAGAAAAAAGCTTGCAGCATATGACTGTTGTGGGATTGTTGCGGCAACCGCTGATGCTGGGTGATTTGTCGGCAATAACGCAAAGCTTGGAATTTGGTTCAATTATCTTGCTCATCATACGACGACGACCCTAAACAATATTTCGGTAACAGTTAGTCGGATATCCCAATTAGCTTAATAAACAAACACGTAAAGAGTGTATATACTAACATTACTCAACCCCTGGAATTGGCTTAGAACACGGCCGTCTGCCTGTCTTTGTTTCAACATGTAACCGACCATCTTCTTGCCATTTAGCAATGTGCCATGGGTGTCCGCTGGTTTTCATGTACATGTATATGATACCACAAGCCCATAAGTCTACTAATCTGTAATCAATTCTCCGTGTTACTCTTCCGCTGACATATCTCACTGCCACAAATACCACGTGAAAAATGAGCCGTGCTCACTTTAGCATTGCACGTCTTCAATAGAGCATCTTGTTTGAATCCACTTGCCGCCAATTCCTCACTAGTCTTGTCGGCAGCTTGAGTTTATCCAAGACTCCCAACCACTGGACGAAGCTTAGGATGCGTTGATCCAACAGTAAACGAGTGATCACGATAACCAATATTTGATGTGATCAACGTCGCGGCCTCTGATTCTGTTCGAGCAACAATCAATTTTCAACTCCCATAATATCAAATTGAACGCGGATGCCTTAATGTGCTGCGAAATAGGAACCAGCACATATGTCCACATTTCTTAGTACGAGGTGCCTGATCCTCAGTAATGCACCATGGCATGGCCAGTATCGAACCGCAAATAATCAACGTATGCTATTTTAGCTCGCTGTTCTTCCATATGGTTAAAACGAGCCTCACATTGTTTCCTGTCGTGAGATTGTTAAGCAGAAATGAGTGCTCACCTCATTAGCAACAGTATCCATAAGACAATCGTCGAGATCCACAGTGAATGGAACATTGCCGACTGGAAACAAGATATTTTGCCATTTGGGCAACTTGTATAGAATCTAATGCCAAAGGTATGGGAGGCAGTCTTATTCTTCTGACATTGCTTGAATAAAGTCCATAATAACAATTTCTTAGCTTGGTGTATCGGACGCGTACGACTGCTTCAAGGATCCACGTTTAGAAACAAATTGTTCAGCAGGTAAGGACGCTTGACCAGGCGAAAATCAGTTTCCTAACTTTAGAACTTTCCCTTTTTCCCGTCACACAAATCTAATACTAAGGGAATGGTCGCACAATGCTAATAGCGAAAAGTCCGTACTACCTTTTTTCTGACCACCAATAAAAGTCGTCGAACTATCCGAACAACTAAAACGCTTTATTGTTACATTAATTATTGAGCTTGCAAATAAGTTTTTGACAAAGCACACGTCAACAAATTAAACGCATAAACAGTTCAAAGTATTATTAACATTAGTATGCATATTATATAATTCATGAATCATAATACTGTATCTCTAAATATATCCCAGGCTTTCTTAACCAACTGTTAAAACTAGCTCTAGCGGATAACCGTAGTTAGACAACAAAAAGCATTAGTTCATTTAAGTCGTAGCACGCTGTTGAGAATGAGATTAAAGAAGTTTATATGAGAACTGCTTAGTTCTTAACCCAGGTGTTTACAAAGCAATCCAAGGAGTATTATAATGTAAGCAATGAAGAATCCTTGTAGACATAATCACAATCTTAGCTCATTATACAAACAAAATTTTACATGTACAAATTTCCTTTCTGCGAAATCTGTGCATGGGTGTAAAAAGGGAAATCGCTAATTGTACAGCATTGTGTAAATAGCAGATGTGTTATGTTTCAAAAAAACGCCCAAATTTGCAATTATGCAATTGTTACACAAAACGAGGGCAAATCATATAAATTCATCCATACTCACTTTATTTTCGATATGACGGGCGCTAATAACCAAATAAATAACGGAAGTTATACGTACGGTATTCCATCAGATCAAATAGACTCAAACGATGCAAACGATCCTCCGTTGGACCACATGCATAGTATAAACTCGAATTATGCAAACAGTATTCCGTTGGTTAATAGCGAGTTCAATAACCACTATTCTTATCCGCTCGTCCAAGCGCCTACCCAATCTTCCAGCCAAGCTTCTTTTTTTGGTGATGCAAATAATAACCTTTACAGGGACAGAAATGATCAAATAAACACCGCGTCTTACGAAAACAACGAAAACCGGGGCGTAAACCCATCCTCGATTCATTATCCTCCCCACCATTCATTAGCGCACACATTGTCTACTTTCACTCCTGCCAACAATTCTCGCATGGTAACAAACGCTACGAGCCATGGATGCATAATGATTGTCATGAAAGCAGATGCTAACATGGAAAGGCTATTGTCCATTATTCAATTGTGCGGGAGGGTAGAAAGATTATACGATTGTCCTTCGTTTTTTATATACCAGATTTTTTGGTATTGGTAAATTCGGTAATTGTTACTATTTGTTTGTCGAATTAGACAAATCGAGGAAAGACTATTGTCAGTTATGTGGTGTTTGTAGATTTGGCAACTTATTATTTTATTTATATCGTATAGGATTTTTTTTACGTTATCAGTGTATTTGAACACAGAACAATATATTTATAAACATTCATGTACGAAGTTTTTACCGTTTACTTTCAATAGTAAAAACACAAACTTCAAATCGTTAAGTGTTGCGCAATGAAGAATCTGCAATTTCAAATTGTTGAGACTTTTAAACAAAGCAAGGTTACGTTCTTAAAACTGTAACAATATATTGTAATGCTTGCATTATAAAAAAAAATCAAGTTGTTAATGCTTGTGAATGAAGCAAGTTAGTCTTATAAAACTGCACCTATACATGCTGTAACATCTGTGCTATAACAATGAGAAAATAGCGCCACTTTTTTTTTTGTTATAAACAGTGAAGAGTTATTACTAAAAAAAGCTGTTACTTTGCAAACTCATAATTTGTCGAAAATTTTTTTATAGTACGGTATTTTTGGAGTATGTATAAATATAGACTAGATTACTTTGTTCAAAAAGTTAAAGTCTGTGATCGGTAAATAAAAAAGATAGCTTTAGAGGTTTACCTAGTTACGTCTAATAAAGAACATAAGAGACTCTGCTCACCACCAATATCTCGGTAAGTTAACGCTTACCAAAAGGAGTCTTAACAGCAGAAAGACATAAATTTACAATTTGACAGCTTGGCGTCCAAGTTTGAATATTACTTGAAACACGTAATTCTGATAACACTTTATAGACCATTACTTGCCGTTATGTCCTCGGAAAAGATAAAGAAAATCTATTTTGACTGTATATGCACAAGATTATGTTAATGCAGATTGTCAAACATAAATAGAGTCCGGTTCACTTCATAAGACATCATTTCCTCGATTTTTTTTTTATTTCTGAAAACACATCGTAATTGTCTATCAAATGCTGCTAATTTTTTGCTATTACGCTTTAATCTTTACAGAACATTTCTAAAATATACTAGACAAACAAAAATTAATTATAAAGTAATAAACTTGACGTTACCCATCTTAATCACCAAGATTTGTGATACCGAAGCGGATGACGGTTTGAGGATGCAAAGTTACGCATGGCGAATATCGAAGCGTTTGACATTATTTCTCATCATATTTTACAAGACCGAATATATTAACACGTTTTCAAAAAATTGAACGGTAATATGTAATTGATATTGTTTTGGCTGACAACATTTTCAAATCTCACGTTGTTGATACGAAATTTCATACAGTAAACCGTTTTGCAATGCATGTCTTTTTTTGTTGCTGATATAAAGAATGTTACGGTTTATCAGTTTAACCCATATCAATGTTCTAACCCGAATCGCAATTTGACCCAATTCGAAATAGGCACCTTGTTTAAATATCACACCAATAAGCGGCATCTAATCAACATTGTTTATGTGATGTTATCGAAATAAAATGTGCTTATTTCGAATTGGGTCAAATTGCGATTTGGGTCAGAACATCAATTTATGAATAAAACAAAGAGTAACATTTTTTAAAAAAATGCTTCTTAAAAAACCATTTGAATCTAGTCATCTTAAATTGACTGAAACTAATAGTCCGGAACTCAATTATTCAAAGAAAAATTGTGTTTCACGTAGTATCCCAAGTCTTTAATAACAGCATAATATGCGGGTTTTTATTGTAATAAACAACAATTAGTTAATGCCACCTATTTATTCCTATGCTGAAACTCTTTGCTCTCTAGTACAACTTCTGCCTGTCAAAGCCGCTTGTAGAAGTAAACTTTCAATACTGTATACTACGTACCTCCATTTACACAATAATCAATACCAATAGATAAAAGTGACCAACTTACAAAACTAAAAAGTACGAATAAGTGTAGTCATATAGACAGCGCATAACAAATAATAAAAAGCTCGATCCAAACTGACATATGACATATGACAGTAATTCTGTATACTCTCAAGAATATGATTTCGGATTTTCGGCCTTGGGGGAACAACCCCCTAATTCGTTTACGTTTTCCTGTTTTCCTCCTCCTTGACTGATTACGAAAGGTCCGAGTTTGAGGGCGGAAACATTCCAGGAATATCTAACCTGATTAGGTTATATGTTAAAATCCCCCGATCGTAAAATGAATAAGGAAAAAAATTTTTTGCTTATATTGCACATTGCATCTACACAACAAACAAACAACAAACATATTTATTGGCAATCTTATGTCTTTCAGATATTAATATCATTTGAATATGCTACGCTGTTAAGAGCTTGCTGTTTAGCCTTAGAACAAATAAAAAGCTATTCGTTCTTGTGACTATAGTCCAATAGTTTATAAAAAACAATCCGTTGCTATAGTCTAGTAATAAAATTTGACAACGCAAAAATATAGACACTAAAGAGAACAAAGAATAAAGAATAAAATTAATAACTTTTTGAGAGAGGGGGGAGGGGTAACCAAAATCACGTTTCGGCTATATAGGTGTTATGCAATTTCGTTTTGTAGACGTCTTCTATAAGTCTTAGAGTAATTCCTGAATAAATGTGATTATTATCCTACATTCAAGGACATCTAAAAAGCAAGCAACAACAATGAAAAATAATCCAAATCAAAAAGACAATCACTCAAAATTTGTGAACGACCAAAATTCGATACATGAAGGTCGCAACCAACAAATTAGCTGTATATTCTTTCCACCCTCACGATTGATTGAATAATAGACAAAAATAGTTCCAGATCAATATCACCATTTATAGTAATTACTGCTTGTCCGTGACTCGTAGCAATAGTCATTATACTGGAAAAGGTGGAAGTCCCAAACGTTTGACGACCAATCGACGGTTCACTGTAACTGTTCGGGTCGTAATCTATCGTTGAATTGTTGACTTCATTTTCATCAACGTGTCCGTAATGTGTGACATTCGACGGTTCATTTCCACTCAAATAAACGCTATTATGGTCGACAGGACAGGTATCAGGAAAAGAAGAATCTTGGCTGGGAGGTTGGGGAAACACTCGACTAGGAGGTTGGTATAAATTTCTGGCTGTCAAATTCATACGGGTTGTTGGATTTAATGGAAAACAGTTTGCGTAAGCCGGGTCGATATCAGGACTGTCTGCATAGTTAGAGTCTAGAATATGCACGTGATCTGATGGAGTGTTGTATGCGTGACTCGATTGATTATTAAAACTAGCCATATCCGATGTCGGTGGTATAATGATACAGATAAACGGTGTTGGCTTGAAGATTCGAGAAAGCTGACTTGAGAGAGAAAAAACACACT